CCAATACATTTCGACGTGACGCGGTGCGCGTACTCACCGGTGCACATTTCGTAGCGTCACGCTGGCGTTGCCACGCCAGGCGCCGGTCGGGCCATATACTCACAGGCACGCGCCGAGTGGCATTGCTTTGACGCAGGTGAGTTCGAGCGTGTTCGGCGTCCCTTGGTCACGAAAAGAGGGAGGCACATTGTTGTCTGGGTAACGCATCAGCGCCAAAGCAGCATGTGGTATTTCACGCCGGTTGCCATCGGGCCACGCTGGCGGACGCTGGTCGTGCTTGTCGCGCCTGGCGTCTGATTATAGAGTGCTCGCGTTTCGCTAACGTAGCGTTGGTGTTTCCATTGTGCGCGTGCGTAAACGCTACAATCGAATACATGGGCCCTTCATGATGCACTCGCGGCTGTTTTGCTTGCTCCACACATACCAACTTTGGTGTTACGTGTCTTCAATGGATGACAAAAGTATACAACTGTTGCAAACATGATAATCCTGACACGCGTGTTATGTAAGGACATGACAACATACCACGCTAATAGCGTGCTCGTGGCCGTTTTGCTAACTCCACATATACTAAATTTTCTATCACGAGGCGCGAATAGATGATGAAGGTAATTCACACATCCAAACATAATAATTATGACACAGAAGTCATGTACGGCATCATTTACCTCCACCTCGTAACGTTCTGCTGACTTTAAAGTGATAAACCTTTCTCATTCGAGCTTCGCTTATCATCGATTCCCACTTTACGTGGAATATGCCAATTTTTTTCCCCTTTGGCGTCGTTGTGGCCATCGCGGTTATGTTTTGTATAAAGTAGAAATCAGTCACATGCTCGCGCGCATCAGGTGTGCTGACCGAAGGTAAACGCTTCAGGGCGGGGCCAATTAACTCTGCTGAAGTGGAGATCAAAAGAGCCTGCCCATTGCAGTTGCTAAGATGCCAGGTTGTGGCACATAGTGCCCCAGCCCGCATTAAGTGCTACACTTTCTGTCGAATGCTCAAGTTGATAGGAAGCGTCACACTCGTCTTTAATGAGCATGAATGGACGCGGTAGGAGGTTGCTCGGGCAGCTACTGTGAACATTGATTGTGAAAGCGTGATCGTAACTGCTGGCAGGTGCACTATCTCGACAGGCATCAGTGATCGGCTCGTAGAGCATTCTACGCGCTGCGCTGCATTGCAGCGACCATGCTTAAACAGCATATTTACCTGTAGTGGCCTATTTCTTCTACACTAGCTTTTTCTCGAGTTTCACAATACTGCATCAAACGTAGTTTACTGACACCCATAGGCGTACCAGCCGGGCGAGGCACGCCCCCCCCCCTCGCTGAAAAAAGTTGTGGGGAATGAGTTCCTCCATTTTCAGACGTGTCGCTGTCGGCTGCAGGCTGGGGAAAACCACAACTAAAGCAAAGTTTCCCTTCACCACTATAATCACTGAAATATATTGTTAGGAGAAAATGGGAATATTAGGAAGGAACGTAGCAACATAGAGATGATTTTTTAACATTTCAGCAGTGACGATCTTTGATGAAAGTTTTTTGCGTTGTTTGCTGTAGCACTACATAAAAGGCCAGCGTTGAACAGTGGCCCTATAATATTACATCAGTTGTTCATGTTTTTTAATCAGCTCTGACTGGCCGGTACAGTTATAGATGAGAAGATTGATGATATGATTGATATGTGGGGTTTAACGTCCCAAAACAACCATATGAATATGAGAGACGCCGTAGCGGAGGGCTCCGGAAATTTTGACCACCTGGGGTTCTTTAACGTGCACCCAAATCTGAGCACACGGGCCTACAACATTTCCGCCCCCATCGGAAATGCAGCCACCGCAGCTGGGATTTGATCCCGCGACCTGCCGGTCAGCAGCCGAGTACCTTAGCCACTAGACCACCGCGGCGGGGCATAGATGAGAAGAAACAAACTTTTTATGGACTGGTCAAAGCAATAGCCGCTTCAGGAAAATCATTTTTTATCGAAAAGGATTAGCACCGCTGCTCTGCCGAACCTGCTGTGAGCCGATAATTGCAACAAATTTTTCTAAATGTTTTAGTTTTGCTGTGTTGGAAGCGCCATGACAGGTTTTCACTTTCATCTCCAATAAATATTATGCCTTGTTTACTGCAACTTAGAGCGATGGGAACATCTTGCAAAGCGGCGTTGAATAAAGCAGTGAACTCGGAGCTCAGTGCAAAGCTAAAATAAGTAGATAGAAATGCTCAAAATACCTTTGGTTTGTCAAGGAGTGTTTTACATTTAAAAAATAAATTCTTTGTGAGCTGTTCTTAGTCCCTTCTGATTTCGTTCAACGACAAAATATTTACTGTTGAGGAGGCCGCTATTAACATAATTGTATTCATGCGGAAAGTTTTGAGGTAATGCATAAAAGGCGTCGTGTGTAATATTCTTCCATGCATCATGCATGACAAACATACATGTGTTATCCCAGTGCATGCTGCTTAAAGTTCACTGTCCTTGTTTACGCAATTGAACAAGTGCTGGGTGAATAAGAAATGGCATGACTGTGCGGGCACGTCAGAAATGCTCTCTCTCTCTCTCTCTCTCTCTCTCTCTATATATATATATATATATATATATATATATATATATATATATATATGTGTGTGTGTGTGTGTGTGTGTTTGTGTGTGTGTGTGTGTGTGTGTGTGTGTAGTCCAGTAGATCCTCCGTTAGCGGCCACAACGTGGTTTATTTTGACGTTTTGGCCTAGAGTCTGGCCTTCATCAAGATTAAAGGTACAGTTTGTTGGTGCTCAGCTTTATACAACCTCAAATCAGAGGAAAAGGAAAGGGGAAAAAGACAGAAAAAAAGAAAAAAGAAAAGAAAGAATATAAGGTGGACTCCCCTCGGGTGCCCCCTTCAACTCTTCCTTCCACTTCCCCCTTCATCTCTCTCCCCTTTCTCCCCTTCACCTTTCTGATGTCAGTGGTGTGTGTATGCTTCCTTTCACTAATGTATTCTTCCCGACCAGATGGCGCCTCCTGGCACTGGTGGTTCGGTGTGGGGCAAAAAAGAGCTTTTTTGGGAAGTTCTAAGCCTTTAGCTACTCGGCGCCCCGTCAACACTTCGTCGTAGAAAGAGGGGTGCCGCGTATTGCGGCAGAGGCTGGTAAGCGGGCGCAATGCGAATTCCTTGCCCGCTTCTGGATTACGCGTGCAGTGGGGGCCTCCCGGATTTGCACAGGGCTGCTGTTGGGCATATCAATCATGGCACAATTGATTGGGTAGTAAAAAAGAACAGAAAACAGACGACAGCTGCACTTAGGAAGAGTAGTTACACTTGAGATTGTTTTGAGTCGACCAGTGCCCTTCGCAGCTGCAGTGCCGTGAACTCAGTTACTATTTTCATTATTGCCGTTATTGTTTACTAATGCTTTAATTGCTGCAAGTGTACCAGGATTCTCATTTATTACTCTATCGAGGGTGTTAAATTGGTGGATAAGGTATGACTCTCGTTGTTCACGTTCTCGATTTCATTTAAATCCCGTCTCTAAGAGCGTTACTGATAGTTTGTGGAATGCATGGTCGGGAAGATTGAGATGTTTTGATAGAGCTAGACTTGGGGCTGATTTCGCATGGGCTCGGTGATTATTGAAGCGAATTCTGAATGGTGTTTCTGTTTGTCCGGTGTACTGCATACCACACGCGTTGCATTCGAGTAGGTATACGACATTAGAGGAATAGCATGTTAGGTTTCCTCGTATGTTAATCGAAAACTTGGATTGTGTGCTGGTTACTTTGTGTATTTCTCGCATCGCCTTACATACAAGACATCTTGGCTTTAAACAAGGTCTGCATGAATTATTGGGGGGGTGATGTTTTAATTTTCAAAGTTAACACATCACCCCCCGATAATTCATGCCGACCTTGTTCAAAGCCACGATGTCTTGTATGTAAGGTGATGCCCGCTTACCATATGCCCGCTTGTATGCCCGCTTACCAGTCTCTGCCGCAACACGCGGCACCCCTCTTTCTACGACGAAATGTTGACGGGGCTCTGAGTAGGTAAAGGCTTAGAACTTCCTGAAAAAACTCTTTTTTGCCCCACACCGAACCGCCAGTGCCAGGAGGCGCCGTCTGGTCGAGAAGAAGGCGTTAGTGAAAGGAAGCATACACAGACCGCTGACATCAGAAAGTTGAAGGGTAGAAAGGAGAGAGAGATGAAGGGGGAAGTGGAAGGAAGAGTGGAAGGGGGCCACCCGAGGGGAGTCCACCACATATTCTTTCTTTTTTCTTTTTTCCTTTTTTTCTGTCTTTTCCCTCTTTCCTTTTCCTCTGATTTGAGATTGTATAAAGCTGAGCACCAACAAACTATACCTTTAATCTTGTTGAAGGCCAGACTCTAGGCGGAAACGTCGAAATAAACCACGTTGTGACCGCTCACGGAGGATCTACTAGACTATATGCAACGTTACGGCTACTCAGCCACAATGCCTGCCTATATATATATACATATATATGTATAAATATATATATATATATATATATATATATATATATATATATATATATATATATATATATATATATATATATATATATATATATATACCAACTGTTAGTCCCCCCGCCCACATCGTAAAAAAGTTGGTACACCACTGCTGACACCTACATTTCACAATTTCACATATTACAAAAAAACTTGTCATCACATTCATTGCTTAGCACTTGCTGCTAAACTGAGGTTTTACTCTTCTTTCGAACTCCCCAATTCTTCTCACCTATGCAGGGTAGCACGCAGCTTATACTAAACACGTTGAAATCTTCACATTTTCTCTTCTTGTCGTGCTCCTTCTTTTCTGGAATGCTGCGTATGCTTGTCAAGTGGCCGTTGATAGTTTTTAAGTCGTATTGAATTTATGCGGTAAAAAGAAAAGTTTAACCAAACTGCTTCATTGCTTGAAGACCGATTAATTGAGGCAATTTATGGCTGCTGGTTTTTTCTCGCTTTACATTTATATGTGTTTTCAGGAGAAGCCTCCGGCTTACGACGTGGGTCGCATTGCAGTCAAGACGGCACTGTTCTCGTCACAAGGAGACAACATGGCGGATCCTAAAGATGTGTCTCTGCTTGTTGAAAGACTTGGCACCAACTTGCTTTTCAACAACGTGGTGCCACAAAAAAACTTCCGTCATCTGGACTTCCCTTTCGGCTACCAAGCAACAAAGTTTCTGCACGAATTGATGCTCGATACAATCGAAAATGATGACGGCACAAGCACCTAACAAGAGCTACAAATTTCGTAACAAAATATGCAAAGCCAGTCACATTTCGTCGAAGAAATTCAATGTTGATGCTCATGTGACTTTAGTGATTTTGCGTTTGTCAAAGCTTTTTATTTTCTTTGCTTGCCTGCCAACAAACGAGTCTCTTGAGTCAAGCCAACGAAAATACAAACCTAATGAAGTCAACATCAATAAAAACATTTTGTGAAGCAAACAAACATTCAAACTTGCATAATCAAACTCAGCGGAGTATGCTGAATTTTCAACACTTCAAAACCAGCCTCATCTTCTGCGGGTACCTTTCTCAGGAGCATCAACGCTGCACCAGAATTAAGCTGTTTTCATGCACAAAATAAATACTTGATGAGCACAGTTCATCAAAATTTCTATAAAGTCACGTATTACATGCAAGTTTTACGCGTACATGTGGCGGTTTTCAGAAATATAAAAATATTCAACAAAAACAGAAATTGCGTAGCATCGACACTTTTATTTCGCTGCAAAAAAATATGGTTAGCGTGGTTGAGGTGTTACGCTTCCGTTTAATGTGCTGGTCAATAAGTACACGTTAAATTGAACGTCGAAAATTCAGATGACGAAAGCTCTGCTTTAGCAAGAATATTTCCTCATCAAAACATAAGCCAATAGGTGGCTAGTTATTCTTTCATTCCATCTACTTTTTGTCGGTGCTAATAAAAGGAAAGTGAACTATAGAAGCCTTTCTTTCAACTTACTCTATTCTCCTTACAAAAATGGATCTGACCTTTCTGTCACCCACCCGTCACCCCGTCACCTTCTTGTTGACTCGACTTTTTTGTAGACCTAGTCTGCATACTTTCTGAAGACGTCTAGGAGAAGGCAACCATGCTCTTTTACAAATGTGCGCCCAGCGCGCGAGCCTGTGGGTATATTTCACATAAACGCATTTATCTATATTCAGCACCCTGAAACATTTCATAAGAATAAATAAATGGTCTTCACCTTTTAGTCACCCATTAGTCACCCATTAGTAACAACCATATAGACCTAGGCTGCACATTTTCTGCAGACCCCGAGCAGGCTGCTGGCAGACTTGACTGGTAATATGCGCCTTGCGGGTGCATGTATATATTACATACGTATGCATACGTATATATATATATATATATATATATATATATATATATATATTATTCTAGGCCATAATACATTCCACAACAACAATATATAACTGAGCTTAACCTTTCAGTCACCCACCAGTCACCCCCATATAGACCAAGTATTCATATTTTCTGCAGACACAGAGCAGATGGCAAGCAGACTTGTCCGGTATTGCGCGCTCATGGTGTGTGTCCGCGGATGTGTATAATATATAAGGTAGCATCTATATATTCCGGACCATGAATCATTTCATAAGATATAATAAATGGCGCTCATCTTTCAGTCACCCATCAGTCATCCACTAGTCACCCACACATAGACTTAGTCTGCAGATTTTCTGTAGATGGCAAGTCAACTTGTTTGTTAATGTGGCCCCTTGAGTGTGCGTGCGGATGTATATAATACATATGTCTATATCTATAAATTCCGGGCCATGACACATTTGAGTATCACAATTGAATGAGCTTCACTTTTCAGTCACCCGGCAGTCTCCCCCATATAGACCTAGTATGGATATTATCTGCAGACGGCAAGCAGACTTGTTCAATAAGATGTGCCCCAAGTGTATGCATGCGCATATAGTATATGTCATATACACAATTCTATACATTCTGAACCATGAAAAATTGTAATATTATGAGTTAGTTTTGCCTTTTTAGGAACATTCACAATGAGTACTACACAATATGAAATGGCAATATTAAAGCAGATAAAATTAACTGACGTTAGGTGGTGTATATATAAACTGTATCAAGTGCAGCAGGTGTACTAGTCATCAATTTACTGTGAATATTGAAGCACATGCCTAGTGACACAGTCAATCTTGCCGAATGTTACAGCCGTAAATTATGCTTGCGTCTACCACATGTTATTCAATTAGTAAAACTATAAGAAAAACTAGTGTTAAACGAGATTTAAAAACTGAATTAATCATTCCTAGGATGTCTGAGTGCACCAGCAAAGTTCAATTTATGGCACGCAGTTCATAACACATTTCAAAACAAAAAAATTTATTTGGCATGAGTTATCCAGCCTAAAGTTCTGACAAGCTTCCAGAAAGGCTGACCAAAATTGCAGGCTGCACAGGCCTGCAGCGACAGAAATGATACTGGCAACACACACTATTCATACGACAGCTACATATGTATCAACTTTATTTGACAAACATTCATTGACAATCAAAAAGTTCAACAACAGTTTGAAAACACTTATCTTTTTTCATATCAATAAAGACAAATTAAAAGGTAGAAATCCCTCGTAGTTGAGGTCTTCTTCAGGCAGTCTGTCATTGGCTATACATACCTGAAGACGGAGGTATATACAACATGCAGCACTGGATTCTGTCTTCACGCAATTTAGGACGTCAAATTCAGCACATCAGTTTCCGAACAAAATCTAACAAATACGTGGTCTGTTCGAAAAAGTATCCAACGTTTGGTGGAAGAAAAAAAAACTGGCATAATTGGGTCGTCGGAAACCTAATCCTTTTGAAAGTAGTTCCTTAGAGATTCCACACACTCCTCGCAGCGGTGTTGCCATTATTGGATGCATTATGAGATGCCACTTTCAGATTGGAGTTTACCTCAGCTATTATCGCAGCCACAATGTCCTCCTTTGTCTGAAATTGTTCTCTATTCAATGTCCTCTTGAGTTCGGGAAAAAGGCAGAAGTCGCATGGGGCCGTATCAGGAGAGCCTGTTGAACTACAAGAGTCGAAATTTTCACCACAAAAGTCTGCATGAAACGGGAGGAGTGTGCAGAAGCATTGTTGTGATGGATGCGCAAGGATCCTGTTGACCACAACTCGGATCTCTAGCGTCGTACAGCATCACGTAGGCGACGCAGGACATCGCTGTAGTTCTCTTTGGTGGTTGTTTTACCCTGTGGTGCGTTCTTGTGGTGTACTACACCTCGGGAGCCAGAAAGCACTCAACACAACTTTCACTTTTCTGGGCACTTGGCAGGCCTCCTTTGGTCTTGGTGGCGTGGAATGCTTCCACTTTGGTGACTGGTATTTGGTTTCTGAGTCGTAACCCTACACCCAAGACTTGTCACCAGTGACAAAGTAATGGTATTCATGAAGTTATGGTACCTGCTTGTGAAAATCAGCATGACTAGTGAGACTTCATCATGATGTTGCTTTCGCTCCACCGTAAGCAGATCCAGGGCGAATTTGTGTGTAGATGACTGACAAGAGCGTGGCTCTCTCTCCACCGATGTAGGACCACCTTTAAACTGGTTGTAGCACTCCTTAATCTGTGTGCGGCTCTCATCATCTTCACCAAAGCAATCTTGATCTTCCAAATGGTTTTTACTTAGCTATCGCCCAGTTTCTACCAAAATTTTATGCAGTATCCCTGCTACAGTCACTGCGTCATTTTCCTTGCAATGAAAAACCGACAGGAGCATTGCGCACCACCTCACTCAAATGCTGCGTCCCAGAAAATGACACTATTGGCAGGCGGGAAAAAAATTCACGCATGTGCACGAAGGTGCTCGCAAAAAAATCTATTAGGTGCTCGCAAAAAAAGTAAGGTCAGATACTTTTTTACGAGACCTCGTACATACGACAAAGCAGGAACACTGAAATGAGATTTACAAACAAAGGCAATTGGACTAGTGCGTATTGAGCAGGCATGTCACACACACTGACTGATTGATATGTGGGCTTTAATATCCCAAAACCACCATATTATTATGAGAGACGTCGTTGTAGAGGGCTCTGAAAACTTCAACAACCTGGGGTTAACGTGCACCCTAATCTGAATACACGGGCCTACAGCATTTTCGCCTCCATAGAAAAGGCAGCTGTCGTAGCCGGGATTTGATCCCGCGTTGTTACACACTCTCACGTGTAATAATATTTACGGAGACACAAATGTACAACTACATACTAATTCCATATCGGTGCTATGGCAAAAATCTCAGCTAACATTTCAGCAGCATAAACAATAAGAAGTTTTTCGTAAATATATCGCAGCGATTGGATGCAACAACTTGCTTGCCTTTTATAAAAAAGAATTAAGGCTCTGAAAAAATAGTACTAATCAATCCTTTGAGAGCACTTTACCTGAGTTTTTGAGAGCATTTCTAGTCGATGAAGTGGGCATTACCTCAAGAATATACATGAAATCAAATATAACCTAGCATTGTGACAAAAGTATAGTCCCTATTGTATGACATGTAAACAAAAGCATGAAACAGCTGCACTAAAATATGGGCCCCTAAAAGTATATATTTAGCGTTCGTACAAGTTTCAAAAGACAAAATTCCACAGAATTTCAAGGGCTTTCCACATGTTTTTCTAGAATTGAAAAATAGCATCCAAATGAGTAAATTTAGGCTCTAAAAAGAATGAAATTCTCACTTTAATTAATTCATTTACAGACATATAGTTGAAACTCCAAATAAACAAGTCATTACAACGCTCAAACTATTTGTTAATTCCGGAAGTTGGTGAACTTGAAGAAGAAGTTTTTCAGCCTGTTGAAACCTAAAATTGTAACACACATAAGCTGAATTGTACCACGGCATTCTATTTGCAACTAACTGAAGCATGCACGCGTGAAAATTCTGTTCTGCTATTCCCAACTTTCAGCTTTATTTAGGTGGGCCAGGCAATGCCTGCGAGGAGAATAAATGCAGACGGGGAGACAATAAATGCAGACGGGGAGAATAAGTGCTGTGATTATGTGAGAAGGACCAACAAGACAGTTTCGAGGAGACAATTAATGTTATCTGTTATATGAACCATAAAATATCAAAAGTACACAGCCATGAGAGCATTGACAGAAACAATAAACATCTGCCACTTGTAGCACCATCTAAAACATGAAAGCGCAACTGTAGGAGCGATCAACTGTTTGTAAATGGCAAATAGCCTTTTGCAAATAAAACCGTCCTTCTGACTCTGAATGACATGTTTCAACACAAGAGCATTAGTGTTCGCACTTGAAAAAATACCATTCATCTAAACATGGAAAGAAGTCAGCGCTCATTTTTATCAATTTAACTAGGGTAAACAGTTTTGGGTCCAAGTTAGTTTGGATAATTTGTGTTGACAACTTTGGATATAAAGGGACACTAAAGAGGAACAATGACATGGTTTATACTGACAAACTGCGCTTTGAGAACTCTAAAGCCACATGTTTCACTATCATCAGTTCAATATTATATTCGGCGACAACTTTTTGTGGCAATAAAGGAAAGGCTGCAGAGCAAAAGTGGGTGTGTGGCACCATTGTAGAATATGTTGCCACAAATGCGTGTGAAAATATTAATACGGGTGAAAATGATAGAAAAGAAAAAAAATTTCCTAATGGATGTTGTTTTTAAAGAGATGCTGCATGCAGCGACCAAATATTCATTCATACCTGT